CCGTTGTCGCCCCCGCTACGTACCGCCGCGCCGCGGATCTCCCCGTCGCGCCGCGTCTCGTCGGTCTGGTTCTTGCTAGGCCGGAATTCCGTATCCCGTGTGTCAACACGCATCCTTTCGTCGCGCCCGGCCGCAGACTGTCTTAATCCGCCGCGCTCCGGGGGAAATAATCTCCCGGGAAATGGCACGATATGAAATATTCTACTTTCGAGGCATTTTAACTGCTTAATACGTTTTATTTTCATCTCGCCACGCATTTGGCGTAGGCGACAAATTGCCGACGAAAGATTTGCATAATATAATCCAGATAAAATTCCAGATGTATGTGTATATATATATTAGGGAAGAGATAAAAGTTTCTGCTACTAAAACACACAGTAATATTAAATTTTTAATAAAAGATTTGTCAGGACTTTATATGATTTCTCTAATGCAGTTGTGCATACAGAAGTTTTTTTTCAAATTATTTCTCTAACTAAAATATTAAAAAAGTTTGACGCGACTCATTGATATATATTGTTAGCATTTTAACTTTTCGAAACTATAATTGCGCGTATTCTCTTGGGGAATTATATACTATAATCTTTTAACAATGTTTAAAAGGGAAGAGGGTTATAAGGGCAACAAGATTTGTACAATTAATTTACACTGTTTATTACGTGGGTACTGTATTTATTGTATGCATGAAGAAACCTTACAAAAGCGGTAAGCGATGTAAGCATAGGTCATGGCAATAAAGCGCGATTGTGCGTGTCTGCATTGCGACTACATGCATAAATGATAATTATGGCGGTGCAATATTTGTCCGGAAACAAACACTGCTTTGCGGTACGCTTTTGCGCGTGCTCATTTGCCGCTAATTAATAATGTTATTCGATATTAGTTTGCCAACGCGCGTGCGAGGATCCAAAACGTATTTACGCGAAGGCGAGTCCCCCCTCCCCCTCCTTCTCCCTCCACCCGCCGTTGCCTTAAATATATTTCGTTATAATTAGAACTCCATTATTGTTGCCGCGTTCGACAAATTATTGTGCATCGGCGTAATGAAATGCGCTTTTCATTCGTATCACATTCAGTTGGTTATGGAGGCGCAACAATGAATGGCACGCGAGTATATATGTACATATATACTTTTGAATTTATTACTCTTTGCGTAAAGACTTGGTACGCGATATTAACCTTCTCTCTGTGAAGTATCTATGAAGTCAGGCGAGTCGATAATATTTTTCAATTAAAATAATCGTACTCTCCGGAATTAAATGAATAAATATAAAAACGAATAAAATAAACGCAAGCTTTATTTATTTAACATTCGGATTACGCGAGGCGTTCTTTTTTTTCTATATTATAAATTTAATTCAATCGTGCGCGAGAGTTATAGTGAAATATGTCAGGCTACAAAATATATATATATATGCGCCTATATACCTGCCATAAGGATAATAACCATAAATGTGCGATAACGATTGATTTTATTGAAAATACATCAGGGCGTTTTGAAATACGGCACATATACCGTTGACAATTCTACGCTGGAAGTTATTTAAAGTTTATTTATTTAGCCGAGATCAATATACAGAGTTGTCTCGTCGACTGAATTTCATTTGTGTTTTTAAGTTTGGACGTGCGATTACACATTCCTTTCGAGAAAAATTACATATTTTCATTTAAAAAAAAATCCGCAAGTCAGTCGTTGAAATTTATTTTTCTTTTATTTCTCTAACGCTTTACGAAATAAATCGAATCGAAAGAAAATTTTAAATTAATCCGAAAGATAGCAGAGTAAAATTCGCTGAATTACAAGAAATTAATTGACGCTCTGAAATCATCATGAAGAAATACGGTAGTTTTACGACTTATCGAGCGCGCTTGATACACGCGCGAACTTCTTTTTTTTTTTATAGCGGCGACGAGTAACACGCGTCGCCGACGCATCGGGTTTTCCTCGAGTTTCATTCGTTTAGCGGCGCCGATTAAAAAACTGCTTTGCGAGCGGATTTACGACCGCGGCATTCTTAGGGCCGTCACCTAGGAATTTCTCCCCTTTTCCGCGGCGTGTTGCTCGTCGCCGACGTGAGAGGGAAAATATACGCCGGACGCAGCCGGTGGCGAATACAAATCTGCGGTCTGTTCTCGGCGTTTTGTTATTCTTATTGCGAGACTTCACAGGCACACGCCGCGCGGTCGATGATATCGAGCCGCGAGCGCGCGAGCCGCGGGGGTAAGTCGTGGGATCAGTAGCGTGCACGGCGGAGGAGGACATAAATCTTGCGAGATAAAAATTGCAACGTCAGATGACCCGATATGCTACGTAGGTACGAATAGTCTGTACCCGCGGTATATATCGATACAGTTCATTATTCATCTATCTTTCACATCGATATCAGACGTAAAAAAGAATATCTATTATGTATCTCTAAATTACTACGAGCACAACTGTTTGTTACGATATATATATATATATATATATATATATATATATATATATGTATATATGTACTATAAAAGAGTGATTATAAGGCACCTCATCTCGAATAGGTAGGCCAACAACAAATGTCTGAAAGTTATCACAATTTAATTGGCTTTACATCGATTATCTTTTTCGTCACATTTATACTTTTGTCTTGACTTTATTCTGACAACATCTCTTGGTTTTTTTCTCAATATACTTCTGATACTCAACTCATTCTCGCTGCTGAATGATGAATAAATTATGAATACTTTTTCTACACACTGAACAGTGTCACGGTCTAATTGTATGACAAATCTAATTGTATGATAGAACTATTTTTAATAATGTATAATATTTATCATATTTAATATATTTTATATACTTTCAATTTTGTCATTGTGGCTTATTTTAATTTAATTTTATTATCTCTTTAATTCATCTTTATATGGTATTATATACTTAGCTAATGTTCATACTGTTTCTTTTTTTTTATATTCATATTTCATTCATTTCGTTATTTTAACTAATTAATGTTACAATTTTTTAATACTGCTGATGAAGGGTTTGTGCAATCGGAACGTTCAGTGTTTGTGAATTTTAAATATATGAAGATTACTTATTTTAAACAACATATATCAACGTCGTAATAATTTTTGTATTATATCGCTAATGGGGATCATAAAACTGTCATTATCTCTCTTAATTACTAAAGTAGAAACTTCGATCTCTCTATTTGAAAAGTCTTCCTTTTGAAGTGCATATTATTGCTACACCCTTTTAGACAAATGAAATGAAGTAATGAAGAGCAAGTGATTTTTTTTTCGACGTGGCTTTTCCGTGCAAGCATAAATCTGTCTGGCGACGATCGTGTGCCAGATTGTAGGTAACATTATAATTAGCGGGGACACCATATGCCACTGTTATCAGACTGCGTGTGCTACGGACATTTCAAAAACAAAGGCAGCATACAATCCTGCGGTGCAACGCATGAATATCAATGTAGTTAGGTTGGTGGAAATGCGGCTACGTTTGCTGCGGAATTACGAGATTGGGGAAGGGTGCGCCACCTCTCCCTCCCCGCTCACACATACACACACGGATGATTTTAATCCTCTCAACCGACTGAAAACAGTTTTTTTGCGGTTTAAGCTTTCGCAGTACATAGGCCAGGCAACAAGATCTTGTAGGGCGCGCATATAAATTCCAGCGAACTTTTGCCATTTTAACATTTCACGTATCTGTTTTATGGGATCTTATACTGTTGCACTTTCGAGTTTTCAATTCGAATTTATAAATTTACATTCCTAATCGTATCGACTGATCAGACCTATGCAAAGCATCGTGATTTGCATAATTATGTTGAATGCGAGCCGCGCTTCGATTTTCGTGATTCGAAGAAGAATTATTTATTTTTTTTAACGAAAGTGCAAGATTCGTTGTTAGTTGAAAAACCGCGAGACGGTTGGAAATTAATTGAATCCGACCGACAAAATGGAATGTGTTTTTGGCGTGTGCCAATAACTCCAAGCAAAATAACTTGCGCGTGCACGTTCGATATGCATCCAATAACAATTTTATCCTCATCCCGCGGACGAGTATATGCATAAAACATTCACGCTATAAATCCTCGTGTACAAATCGAACAAATTCTACTCGCGATGCGTATATTTGATATTTAATGCTCCATCCGGATCAGCAGTCGGCTGTTTTTCGACTGCAGAAATGCATAATAACGTAATCATTAAATTCATATAATGACAGTTTTATGATCCCCATTAGCGATATAATACAAAAATTATTACGTCGTGCCTGAATGGCCCGCATTGAAATGCATATTTTACACAATCCCATTCGGGGAATGATTACATAATTAATTAACTGTAAGTAGAACGTAAAGTTAATTAGGGCTTTTCAGCGCGGCATAACTATAAAGTGACGGCGCGGAGACACGTTTGCACGTCATGCGCGACCCGAGTTAAGGGCGGTAAGATTGTTATTCGTTGAAAAATGAAGATTGTAATTTTCTTGTTACACGTTACGCGATATATTGACGTATATCTGTCAGATAACGTTGCTCGAATGATGAGATTTTATTTGGCACGCTGCAAATGACGCGAATAGGAGATAGAATATGAGATAAAGCCAAACAATCTATGCTCACGTACGCGTTGCGTGCAACGTAATTATCGATAACTGCGATAGCGAATCAGAGCACGTTCCACGTTGCTTGCAGACCGAAATGGAAAACACCCTCCGCATTTCGAACGCATCGTCGAACGACCAACATCACCGTACCTCGCCCACGTGCCCAGCCGGACCCGTCTAACGTCGTCCACGCCCGTCGTCGTTGCTGCCAAAGGGAATTTGTCAGCGAGCAAGAAAGATGTAATTTAGTTTTTCGCATTACGACCGGGGGGCTAACGTGACACGAGTACGGGACAGATCGAGCGTCGAATTGACGTGACCCGTTGACATGCCGTCGATGTCGGGAGCGTAAAACGCGGCGTGCAGTCCGCCCGCTCCCCCCCCCCCTCGTCCCCCTGAGAAGATGCTGGTGGATGACTGCGGAAGCGGGATGGGGTGGACTACGGCTAGCGTGCGCGGCGGTTGGTCCACCCCGGCAGGATGCAGAAATTCGGCCATGAGCTTCGGCGGCAGTGTGCCGTCGTTGCACCCGACCGGTTCGATAAGATCGTTGCGCTCGCAACACTCCATGCAGGTGAGCGAATGAAGCCTCCCCCCCTCCCTC